CCGCCCACCAAAACTCACAGACCAGGCAAGGAGGGCATTCATCAGAGGCAACAAAGAGACCAAAGATAACCCTGAAGGAGCTGCAAAGCTCCACAGCGGAGATTGAAGTATCTGTCCATAGGACCACTTTAAGCCGTACACGCCACAGAGCTGGGCTTTATGGAAGAGTGGCCAGGAAAAATGCCATTACTTGAAGAAAAAAGTAAGCAAACACATTTGGTGTTCACCAAAAGGCATGTGGGAGACTCCCCAAATATATGGAAGAAGGTACTCTGGTCAGATGAGACTAAAATTGAGCTTTTTGGCCATTAAGGAAAATGCTATGTCTGGCGCACACCCAAGACCTCTCATCCCCCCGAGAACACCATCCCCACAGTGAAGCATGGTGGTGGCAGCATCATGCTGTGGGGATGTTTTTCATCGGCAGGGACTGGGAAACTGGTCAGAATTTAAGGAATGCTGGATGACGCTAAATACAGGGAAATTCTTGAGGGAAACCTGTTTCAGTCTTTCAGAGATTTGAGACTGGGACGGCGGTTCACCCTCCAGCAGGACAATGACCCTAAGCATACTGCTAAAGCAACACTCAAGTGATTTAAGGGGAAACATTTACATGTCTTGGAATGGCCTTGTCAAAGCCCAGACCTCAATCCAATTGAGAATCCGTGGTATGACTTAAAGATTGCTGTACACCAGCGGAACCCATCCAACTTGAAGGAGCTGGAGCAGTTTTGCCTTGAAGAATGGGCAAAAATCCCAGAGGCTAGATGTGCCAAGCTTATAGAGACATACCCCAAGAGACTTGCAGCTATAATTGCTGCAAAAGGTTGCTCTACAGAGTATTGACTTTGGGGGGGTTGAATAGTTATGCACGCTCAAGTTCTCTGTTTTGTTGTCTTATTTCTTGTTTCACAATAACCAATATTTTTAATCTTCAAAGTGGTAGGCATGTTGTGTAAATTAAATTATACAAACCAGGTTGTAAGGCAACAAAATAGGAGGGGGGGGGGGAATACTTTAGCAAGCCACTATATAATACAGATGCATGTAACACATTGGTAACACTTTATAATAACTTTTTACAAGCCAATAATAGATCATTTATACTTACGCATGTTACACAAATCATTAACACAAATCATATAAATTATGCTTGGGGTTTGTGCATAAAGACACATTTCTGTTCTGTAAATTAATGGACAATAAAGTACATCTTATCTTATATTAATATTATTATAAAGTCCTACCAACACATCTACAATAGTCAACCAATGTGACTCGTGGTCTTGCAAACCCATACAACAGTCTGTCATGTCTAGACAAGGGCTGTTCCAACTCTGTTCCTGGAGCGCTACCGTCCTGTATGTTTCCACTCCAACCCTGATCTAGTGCACCTGATTCCAATAATTAGCTGGTTGATAAACTGAATCAGATTATTTACAACTGGGGTTTGAGTAAAAACCTACAGGAGGGTAGCTTTCCAGACACAGGGCTGGGGAGTCCTGGTCTAGACCATGACCTATTGAACTCACCCGTTTCTTTCTTGGGAGACACCTCTGGTTGTTGCCGGGTCACCGGGGGCTGCTGAATTGGGCGTGACGACGGAGGAGTAGTCTAGAGAAAGACGGTAAAACAGCATTGAAAAACAAACATAAAAATATATCCAGCTGAGCTCCAAAGAGATAAAACGTGCATATTGATGCTACATGAGTATTTGTAGATCTGTAACAAAGAAAACCATTACATTTATGGAGCTACAGTTGAAGTCGGAAGTTTACATACACCTTACCCAAATACATTTAAACTCTGTTTTTTACAATTCCTGACATTTAATCCTAGTAAAAATTCCCTGTCTTAGGTCAGTTAGGATCACCACTTTATTTTAAGAATGTGAAATGTCAGAATAATGGTAGAGAGAATGAATTATTTCAGCTTTTATTTCTTTCATCACATTCCCAGTGGGTCAGAAGTTTACATACACTCAATTAGTATTTGGTAGCATTGCCTTTAAATTGTTTAACTTGGGTCAAACATTTCGGGTAGCCTTCCACAAGCTTCCCACAATAAGTTGGGTGAATTTTGGCCCATTCCTCCTGACAGAGCTGGTGTAACTGAGTCAGGTTTGTAGGCCTCCTTGCTCGCACACGCTTTCTCAGTTCTGCCCACAAATGTTCTATAGGATTGAGGTCAGGGATTTGTGACGGCCACTCCAATACCTTGACTTTGTTGTCCTTAAGCCATTTTGCCACAACTTTGGAAGTGTGCTTGGGGTCATTGTCCATTTGGAAGACCCATTTGCGACCAAGCTTTAACTTCCTGACTGATGTCTTGAGATGTTGCTTCAATATATCCACATAATTTTCCTTCCCCATGATGACATCTATTTTGTGAAGTGCACCAGTCCCTCCTGCAACAAAGCACCCCCACAGCATGATGCTGCCACCCCCGTGCTTCACGGTTGGGATGGTGTTCTTCGGCTTGCAAACATCCCCCTTTTTCCTCCAAACATAACAATGGTCATTATGGCTAAACAGTTCTATTTTTGTTTCATCAGACCAGAGGACATTTCTCCCAAAAGTACGATCTTTGTTCCCATGTGGAGTTGAAAACCGAAGTCTGGCTTTTTTATGGCGGTTTTGGAGCAGTGGCTTCTTCCTTGCTGAGCGGTCTTTCAGGTTATGTCGATATAGGACTCGTTTTACTGTGGATATCGATACTTTTGTACCTGTTTCCTCCAGCATCTTCACAAGGTCCTTTGCTGTTGTTCTGGGATTGATTTGCACTTTTCGCACCAAAGTACGTTCATCTCTAGGAGACAGAACGCGTCTCCTTCCTGAGCGGTATGACGGCTGCGTGGTCCCATGGTGTTAATACTTGCGTACTATTGTTTGTACAGATGAATGTGGTACCTTCAGGTGTTTGGAAATTGCTCCCAAGGATGAACCAGACTTGTGGAGGTCTATAATTTTCTTTCTGAGGTCTTGGCTGATTTCTTTTGATTTTCCCATGATGTCAAGCAAAGAGGCACTGAGTTTTAAGGTAGGCCTTGAAATACATCCACAGGTACACCTCCAATTGTCTCAAATGATGTCAATTAGCCTATCAGAAGCTTCTAAAGCCATTACATCATTTTCTGGAATTTTCCAAGCTGTTTAAAGGCACAGTCAACTTAGTGTATGTAAACTTCTGACCCACTGGAATTGTGATACAGTGAATTATAAGTGAAATAATCTGTCTGTAAACAATTGTTGGAAAAATTACTACAAAGTACATGTCCTAACTTACTTGCCAAAACTATAGTTTGTTAACAAGAAATGTGTGGAGTGGTTAAAAAAAAAAGTTTTAATGACTCCAACCTAAGTGTATGTAAACTTCCGACTTCATGTTGTGATGATTTTTGTTGTTATGTGGTAATAATATGACCTAATATGACCATAAAAATACATCCAGCTCCAAGGACAACTCAAAGTTGGCTTCCCAACTGGCATATTGCTAAATTGATATTTGTACAGTAGTTCCCTAACCATAAACAATGACTTGTAAAGAGATTATGTTGGATGTTTTAGGACATGTTTGGGGTAATCATACATTCTAATTTTCAGAAGTTGTGGTACAACTTTGGCACTCAAATACTCAAAGTTGGCTTCTCCACTTCCATAATATTGCCAAATAGCTAGCTTATTTGTAGTTTTCAAACAAAGAAAACAATGACATTTAAGGAGTTTTTGAGTTTGCAAGACATGCATTTCACTGTACATGTGCATGCGACATTAAAACTTGACACTATACAGTGGGGTCCAAAATTATTGACACCCTTGGTGAAGATGAGCAATAATGACTGTATAAAATAAAAAATTCAAATACTGAGCTATATTGTATGCAAAAAAAATTGGGAAATTATATTATTTTATACTAATACAATTGCTCAGAGAAAGATTATGTAATATTGTTTTTTTCTAAAAAAAAGGTAGTGGTCAAATTATTGACACCCCTAAAGATTCTTATTAATAAAGTAGTCAAAAGTTTAGTATTTCATCCCATATTCCTAGCACACAATTAACTACATCAAGCTTGTGACTCTACAAACTTGTTGGATGCATTTGCAGTTAGTTTTGGTTGTGTTTCAGATTATTTTGTGCCCAATAGAAATTAATGGTAAATAATGTATTGTGACATTTTGGAGTTAATTTTATTGTAAATGAGAATAGAATATGGTTTAAACACTTCTACATTAATGTGGATACTACCATGATTACGGATAATCCTGAACGAATCGTAAATAATGATGAGTGAGAAAGTTAGAGGGTCAAAGATCATACCCCCAAGACATGCTAACCTCTCACCATTACCAATAACGGGAGATTAGCATGTCTTGGGGGTATGATGTCAATAATTTCAGACTCCACTGTATGTACTATATGTTTTGTGTTTTATTTTTGTTATGGGGTAATCAAACGTGCTAATGGTTGGCAGACTAGCACTGTGTCTGGTGTCCATTATGTAATTTCCTCTCGGGCTAGCTTACCCTAAACAAATGAATACCCATGACCAAGCAAAAACACTCTCTCTTCCCCTCTGTGAGTTAGTCTCTACAGTGGTGTTGCAAAGAGCTGTGATGGTGGCGCCAAGTTTATGTGTGCCCGTTATGAATATACAATAGTGAGTTGACCCTGTGAGCGAGACGGTGGGTGTACGTTCTCCTACTGGGAGTGGATGGGATGGCGACAGGCAGCAGGTATTTTGGTTGGGAGGAACATGTCTGGCAACAGGAATGTGACCCATTTTGGGCTCCAGCTCTTAAGATAGTGGTCAGAGAATAGAGTGGAGGAGCTGGTCTGTGTGTGCACATGTTTCAGTGTGTGTGTGTGTGTCTGGGTGTAAGTGTCAGGGTGTGTGTGGCATGGTGTGTGTGTGTCTGTGTGTGTACTGTGTGTTTGTGTGTGTGTTGGGGAGTAGAGACAAGGAAGGACTGCCAAAGATCTGTCATCACCGCTAGCGCTCTAGAGATGGGAGAATCTGCAGGGGGGAAGAGGAGAGGCCATTTCCAGACTCACCCCCCTCAGGGAGAGGAAGATAAAACCTAACACCCGTGTTTTCTAAGCTCATTCTTCACCAGGTGACACGCCTCATATTGTCACCTGTGGAATCTGAGAGGGGAGTACTGGGTGGGAGAGATGAATGGATAGATGAATGGAGGGGGGCAATGTGAAAGAAAAAGTATGGAATTCTTCACAAAATTAACCAGTTTCCTCTGTGGGCAAACATTCTTCCTATTGTAGGGCCTGAAGTTGGCTATGTGAAGAATTTGACTCAGTGAGTGTTATATGACAGATCCAATGGGATATATGTAATAAAACAGACCTGCACGTATACTCCCATGCGCTCATCATTTCTGAGAGGTGGGAGTGAAGAGGGTGGGGACAGACGAGGCACTGGGTGGTGATGGATTTGAAAAACACAAATTAATTTAACCATAGTGTCACGATCGTCGTTAAGAGAGGAGGACCAAGGCGCAGCGTGATGGCTTGGTGCGAGGAGCAGGGACAGGCCGGACCGGGCTGGCGACGCACCCCGTAGGCTTGGTGCGAGGAGCAGGTACAGGCCGGACCGGGCTGGCGACGCACACCGTAGGCTTGGTGCGTGGAGCAGGGACAGGCCGGACCGGGCTGGCGACGCACCCCGTAGGCTTGGTGCGTGGAGCAGGGACAGGCCAGACCGGGCTGGCGACGCACACCGTAGGCTTGGTGCGTGGAGCAGGGACAGGCCGGACCGGGCTGGCGACGCACCCCGTAGGCTTGGTGCGTGGAGCAGGGACAGGCCGGACCGGGCTGGTGACGCACACCGTAGGCTTGGTGCGTGGAGCAGGGACAGGCCGGACCGGGCTGGCGACGCACACTGTAGGCTTAGTGCGTGGAGCAGGGACAGGCCGGACCGGGCTGGCGACGCACACCGTAGGCTTGGTGCGTGGAGCAGGGACAGGCCGGACCGGGCTGTGGAGACGGATAGGAGACCTGGAGTGAAGAGCTGCCACAACCTGTCCTGGCTGAATGCCTACCTTTACACACTCTGTGTGAGGCATCAGCACAGGACGTACAGGGCTGTGTACCCGTACTGGCATAACAGCACGTGACACTGGCGCAGGATATCCGGGACCGAGGAGAGGCACTGGAGGCCACGAGCGCTGAGCCGGCACACTCCGTCCTGGCTGCATGCCCACCTTCGCACAACACGTGCGGGGTGCTCGCACAGGACGTACCGGACTATGCCGGACCACTCGTGGCACAGTGCGCAGCTCCGCATACCGCGGAACCTGCCCAGTCTCATGCTGCCATGCCTGAGTACGGGGAGTTGGCTCTGCTCTCCATCCAGGCTCCGCCAACCTGCCTTCTGGCCCCCAAAACCCGGTGGCCTCCTCTCCAAATCGCCCTGTGGCAGCCTCCAGCTGCCCAGCCGCCCATGCCGTGTGCCCCCCCCCCTAAAATTTTTTTGGGGTTGCCTCTCGTCCGTCCGACGATGACACTGCTGACGCCGCTGCTCCTCTCTCGCCAGGGCCTTAATCCTAGCCCATGGCCCTTTGCCCCCGAGCATGTCCTCCCAGGACCACGATTTGCCCACCTGGGCCATCGCCAGCCTCTCCATCTCCTTACCCGGCGCTTCCTCCCATGTCCAGTCTGCCTGCTCCTGGACACGCTGCTTGGTCCTTGTATGGTGGGTTCTTCTGTCACGATCGTCGTTAAGAGAGGAGGACCAAGGCGCAGCGTGATTAACGAACATGTTTATTTATCTTTAGTGATAAATACGGACAATCAACAAAACAACAAACGACTCGTAACGTCCTAGGTAACATAGACCAACACGGAACAAGAAACCACAAACACAAAGGGAAAAACAGACAGTTTAAATATGGCTCCCAATCAGAGACAACCAGCCACAGCTGACACTCGTTGCCTCTGATTGGGAGTCACTCAGGCCAACATAGAAATAAACAACCTAGACCTCCCAACATAGAAATACACCACAATGAAAGAACACACCCTGGCTCAACATATAGAGTCCCAGAGCCAGGGTGTTACACATAGAAGGCACAAGCCCAATTTTGCCCGATGCAGATTGAAACTTGTCTGCTATATGTTCTCTGAACTAAACTATTTAGTTCACAAAGCTAATGCAACAAGATAAAGCTGGCACAAGGACCATATTCACACACCAAATACACACACGCCTAATCCCGGACTCTACATGAGATTCGAGACACAATTGTGTGAGAAATGTAATGAAATAAGATGTCTGTTTACTTCACTGTCACGAGCTGAGTCTTAAAATAAAAAAATCTCACACAATATTAAACTATACGCACTTTCACCCAGACAACTGTGTAATGGGAGTTTGCAAGTTTTCTTAAGCTTGACGGTAGGTAACTCATCATACCAAAAATGATTTAACTTTCAACACTTCTAAGTGTTTGAGTGGCTGCTTTAATACAATCTGCACTGTAGTAAACATGTATGTCAAGATCACATCCTGCACAGTTACAACAAGCCCTTTAATGGAGCAGGAACAATGTTGTCGTACATCTGCAGTGCGGACTTTATTGAATTCCTGCCCTTAGTGCACCATTGTCCGAGCTTGAGCGGGAGTCAGATAGGCTCAAGCTCAGACAATCTGGTCAAAGTCAACGGGATGTTGGGTAACAGCTGCTCCATACGATGCTAATAAACACGTTGGGTGGATGGAAAGCCTGTGTGAAGTGGCACAAGGCTTCAAAGTCAGCCCGTGCACCTGGAGCCCTGTGGAACCTACAAGGTGTGGCAGGCCGAAGACAGAGTATTAGACCTCCGCTTCAGGCACAGCTTTTCCCGCCATCTCTTTCCGTTACCTCCATATTCCTGTTCTAACAACTTTTAAGTCTGATTGAGAAACCAGTCAAAATAACAAAACAGAACCTTTGAGATATCATCGCCCTGAGCTGGATCAGACACATCTGGTTTTCTACCTAGTCTTCCACTGTAATTGGACCGGCGTGCCCCGACTGTGGCGTTGTATGGAGGCTGGAGGTTGTGCTGCAACATTTGCTAGTTGTAGAGGGTAAAGTAATCGAATACAATGCATTGCCCAGGTCTGTGGGAGTAGTGTGTGGGTGTGTTTGTATGTTGGTGGCAGGGATGATGCTCGTGTTAGTTTAGGACATCGTCCAGGTGATAACCCACAGCCAAACCGGCCATATACATTCCCCACTACCCACCCCCTCCCCACAGTTTGAAATACATAGTGCACTATAGTAGTGAATAGGGTGCCATTAGAATAGGGTTCCCTACATAGTTTTACAGAGTTCCCTACATCCCTACTAAATAATGAATAAGGTGCCATTTGGGGTGCAACCCATGTGTCCGTCGCTCACGAGAAGAGAGTAAAGTCCTGACACATCAAAAGGTGAAAATTCACATGCTTGTGGGTGAACGCCAACATATACAGATAAATGGATTTCAGGGCACGTACCGTAACTGTCGGTCTACCGTCCTCAACCCACACATATTTTTGTACCTCCTCGTCCCATTTTAGAGGTGGGAGAAAGAGGGAGGAAGAGAGAGATCCATCACATTCATTATGTGACTATTATTCAAAAACTATTTTCATACAAATGAGGCACTACAACAGCTATGCGCAAAAATATAAACGCAACATGCAACAATTTAAAAGATTTTACTGAGTTATAAGGAAATCAGTCAATTGAAATAAATGATTTAGGCCGTAATATATGGATTTCACGACTGGGAATACAGATACGCATCTGTTGGTCACAGATACCTTTAAAAAAAGTAGGGACGTGGATCAGAAAACTAGTCAGTATCTGGTGTGACCATCATTTGCCTCATGCAGGACACATCTCCTTTGCATAGAGTTGATCAGGCTGTTGATTGTGACCTGTGGAATGTTGTCCCACTCCTCTTCAATGGCTGTGCGAAATTGCTGGATATTGACAGGAACTGAACACGCTGTCGTACACATCGATCCACAGCATCTAAAACATGCTCAATGGGTGACATGTCTGGTGAGTATGCAGGCCATGGAAGAACTGGGCCATTTTCAGCTTCCAGGAATTGTGTACAGATCCTTGCGAAATGGGGCCGTGCATTATCATGCTGAAACATGAGGTGATGGCAGCGGATGAATGGCACGACAATGGGCCTCAGGATCTCGTCACAGTATCTCTGTGCATTCAAATTGCTATTGATAAAATGCAATTGTGTCCGTTGTCCCTTGCTTATGCCTGCCCATATCATAACCTCACCGCACCATGGGGCACTCTGTTCACAACGTTGACATCAGCAAACCGCTTGCCCACACGACGCAATGCACGTGGTCTGCGGTTGTGAGGCCGGTTGGACGTACTGCCAAATTCTCTAAAAGGACGCTGGAGGCGGCTTACGGTAGAGAAATTAACATTACATTCTCTGGCAGCAGCTCTGGTGGACATTCCTGCAGTCAGCTTCTTGATACGCCACACCTGTCAGGTGGATGGATTATCTTGGCAACGGAGAAATGCTCACTAACAGGGATGTAAACAAATTTGTGCACAAAATTTGAGATAAATATGCTTTTTGTACGTATGGAAAATTTCGGGGATCTTTTATTTCAGCTCATGAAACATGGGACCAACATTTTACATGTTGCGTTTGTATTTTTGTTCAGTGTAGTAAAAACCCATCATGTGGCGACATTACCAAACTTCCTACAACCAGTACATAGCCAAGCCTTGCTGCTCAAACTCTGTGACCTTTGAAACGTCGCGGATAACCTGGTTTTAGATCATGGTCCCCAAGAGTGTAGATCCGAAAGGGAAAAATGCTTAGATAGACTGAACGCGCTTGTATGTGGATGGCAACAACATTTTAACACTAAAATGTTAGTCAAACGATCATACCGGGCCGTTCTTCTTCCCGTCCAGTTTCCCTTCCACGTCGCCACTTCCGCCGTCCCCTGAAGCCTGGGCGGAGAGAGACCAGGGTTGTATTCATTAGTGCAAACTGTAGCAAAACGTTTTGCAATGAAGAACTAGTGTTTCTTCAGGTAGGTCCCTCCCGATTTCAGCCCCTTTGCTTCTGTTTGGTTCCTAGTGAACGCACCCCAAGTTCCCTCTAAGTTTAAGCCTCCCCATATCCTGCTAAGCCAACTGTATAAGCGCTATGCTGCTGCGCCTTTGTTTATGTATGGGTGGGCGGGTCAAGATTCACTTACCACATCCGAGTCATCCCCTTCCTCCTCACACTGTCTTTCAGCAGCCCGGGGGTCTCCAACAACCCTCAGCTCCCCAATCACCCCCTATGAAGGAAAACACACACAGGCAAGCACATATACGCAGGCAGACACACACACACACACACACACACACACACACACACACACACACACACACACACACACACAGTTGTCAATACATGGCTTTTGATGTCTGGTGTGTGTGTCTGTGTGTGGGGTGACGTAAAACAAGGCATGTTGTGGTGCTGCTGCGCACAGCTGGTCCTCTGCCTGTACACGTCCGCATTCTTCTGCCCCATTAAGCCCACACGCTTCGGCCCTGCTCTAAACATAAATCAAACATATATCTTCCCTCTGAAGTCCTGTGTCTTCAAACATGTGTACCTGATCTGTGTGGTGTTTGTTGTGGGAAAGCCCCCCTCGCTGGAGAAGCCGAGGGGTTTATTACAGCCGCCCAAGTGTTGAGAAATGAAATGGATGCCTGTGATATGACACTCATCTTCCACTGTCCCAGTCCATCAAAATCGCCACCACAAGAGCTTCTTTCAATGTCTCGCATTAATAGCATCTTATGAAGTCAATCAAAAAGCCAAATCATGTGATTCAGGAGAATTTGCTTTTAACATGTTTTAAACGTATAAAAGCTATAGTTATGAAGAGCTTCTCTTTCGATGAATGTCCACAAATGTGTTCACGAGCCTTCAATGTCCCTAAATAGCTATCAAAGATATTTATTTGATTTATTTGATGAGGACTTTGTTAGACAGTTTTCCAATATGAAGCTGAGTCTGTATACCCTATGTGCCTTTTCATTTCCAATTGTCACGCCCTGACTCAGGGGACTCTTATATGTTGAGTCAGGGTGTGGTGTTCTATGTTGTGTTTTCTATGTTGTCATTCTAGTATGTGTAGATCTATTTTGGCCGGTGTGGTTCCCAATCAGAGGCAGCTGTTGCTCGTTGTCTCTGATTGGGGATCATACTTAGGCAGCCTATTGGCACTCGTTAGTTGTGGGCTCTTGTTCCGTGAGTAGGCTTGTTTTGTGTGTAGCCTTAGGACTTCACGTTTCGTTGGTTTGTGGTTTTGTCGTGTGTTTATTATTTAAATAAACATGTACGCATTTCACGCTGCGCCTTGGTCTGACCCGTCCTTAAACGAATGTGACACCACTGTTACTTCCAGGCCTGGGAGCAGGTACTATCTTACCCTATTATAACCCAAAATAAAAGGTGATATTACTCTGTTATTTATGTTTCTGTTGTCATTTGAGTCTGTGTAAATGAACAATGTATAGCTTTAAAATATGTTAAAACTATCATGTCAATCTCATGGACTATTTAAACATTTGACTTAAGAGTGGTTACATTCCTCTCAAAAGGTAATTCATTCTAACTGGCCTGTACCACCTCAGTGCAGGCATAAGGGTTCAACTCCCTGCGTTGAGTCTACAGATAATGCAATGATAAGTGTCTGAACTCAAGCAATGCCTGGGGTCTATGTAAACAACCATTGTTTGCCTCAGCTGCCTCTAAGAACTGTCTTTAAAAATATGAAAACCTCCCTTCCACACAGCTTGTAGGAAAAAAGAGACAATGCCCTGACATTTGGCCAAACCCTTTTGTCTAAATCCCCTCATTTGGTCTTGTCAAGATAGGACAGACCGGTCTTGAACCCAAATGAGAGCTATTAGGGACTCTGCTCTGAGTATTCCGAGTCCCTGAGGTGTACTTTTCTTGAAGACGTGCCCAGCAAAATCACAAAAAAAATGGTAAAAAGCCTAGCAAAATCAGTCAACAGTGGGTAGGACTACACACATTCCCATATTTTAAAGGCCATGCCATGGACATAAAATGAACCCATGTCCGTCAATCTTTTTCTATGTCTATCTCAGGGTCAATACGCACAAAAAGACTATCCCTCAAATTGAGGTTTTTGTATCGCCCGTTCGTACTTTATTGGAATAAAGATACCATTGCTTCGTCTGACCATGTTTTAAATCATCCAATTATCTTCGTTTAATCAGACAGGGTTTCTGACCATCTGTACATTTATAGACAGCAAGTAAAACAATAATTACGATGCTGTCTGGGAACTAATGAATCCTCGCAGAAATATGTAAGTAAGTCAAGCAATAAAAAAGGCATTCAATATTGCGTTATTTGTCAAAAGGCAGGTCAAATGTCTTTCTCTTTCAGTATGTGTCTATACCTGTTCTCATTCTCACATCATATGATTGCATGGCTTACCATGTTGTGTACCCCCAACAGCACATATTTTTGCGAATCAGGTGTGCTTGTCCAGGGCTACAATAAAAATGAGTACGGTTGGGGGTACTCAAGGACTGGAGCTGGGAAACACTGGCTTAAGATACTGACTTGAATCTTTTTCTTGGAGGGGGATCAATTTAAGTTGAATCTCAACTTTTGCTTTATCCTAGCAACATTGTCCCAGTGCAAGCCAAATAGTCAGAAATAAACTGTACTAAATTTCATTCATTAATTTCAAACAGGGTTCATTCTCGGAATGTTAGGTCTTAACCTTTACAGATTTGAATGTACAACTGGTAACACTTTAGTATAGGGATGACATTAGGCCACTGATTTGCAAGATAAGTAGCAAATAAGTAGCATATTCATTGTTTCCTTATTCACACAAGTAGAAAATGAAACACTGAATAAAGGCCTGATACATAGCTTATAGCACACAAAGGTCTAACTAGCTACTTATATACACACTTTAAACTGCCAATTAGTGACCACTACATGATCCCTATGCTAAAGTATTACCCTACAATCTACTGAATGAGGAGATACCAACTTCAGATAACAATGTCAGCGAAAACTAAACAAAGGGCACAGCCTTGCATTTGCTCGGAACATAAGGGCAATTGTCCTGGTCACAGAAGCAGCTGTCTGCTTGTGCCCTCTGCTTACAGGGACACCTGTCTTTGTGTGCTGGGTGCTGGGTGCTGCAGAGCGACGGTATAAGGGTCAGCTGCAGCACTTACACAGGGGGGTGGAGGGGAGGGCCAGCTGGAGCTAATTGATCCCCTACCATGAAGTCCACCAATTATACCTCTGTGTTTCCCAGGAGGAGACAGGGAATGGTCGGGGTCAGACCACTTTTATGTTTTGATTTAAAGCAGGCCAATTAAGGGCAATCAAATCATAAAAGGGGTTAGCCTGACACAACGGTTTCCGTTTCACGTGTCTGACTCAGCCTGGCTAGGAGGGCAGCCCTGACCGGTCTGATTTCCGATTCCACTTGCCCATGACACCGATATATTTCTCCAGTAGGAAATGTTATAAGGATAGTAGGGCTTGAGATAAGTGCACATAAGTCAAAACTATGAATTCATCTTGGACTGCCTCGGACGTTCTGATTTATGATTTCTGCTCAAGTTTGAGTTTGAGACAGAATTGCGGACTACAGATCCTACTCTTATGCTATTATTATCATCCCATAGGCTATTCAGGATAGGGCCCTAAGTAAAATATAAGACAGGGTTTGGGGTAAAATTGCCTTTCAACTCCTTCAATCCAGGAAATGATGAATTATACATTTTCGCATTGACGAAGTTGAAACACAACGGACCCGAAATCAGATATAAAAATGTCCAGTAATAGCATGATACATACCAGGAACTTATTGGGATCGGCCCCTCCGGCTTGGCCCACGAACACCCCGGCTCCGGCCTCCAGCTCCATCTCATCTGGGGACCTCTCGAAGCGTACCACTTGGGGTTGGTCGTCGCAGTTGATGTAGAAGGTGACCTTGTCGTCCAGCACGGAGATGGAGAAGCGGTTCCACTGGTCGGCCAGGTTATGCACGGAGAAGGTGGCCGCCACGTACGACACCTGCGAGTCGGGCTCTGTGTAGTAGAAGATGACATTCTGCCTGCTCGCCTTGACTGGCGACAGCTTGACGCCCACGTACATGATCTTCTGAGAGGCGTCTGTGACCGAAAAGATGACACCGCCCTTGGTGGACTGGGGCTTCAGGTTGAAGAGGAGGGAGAAGTCCCGGTAGAAGGGGCTGGGAAGATGGGCGCGTGCCAGCTGGCCCGTGTTGGCGTCGGGACCAAAGACGTAGCCGGGGCTGTTGTCGGGGCCGTAGATCTTTGTGATCTCGTCTGGGGGAGGGTCCCCGATCAGGTGCAGGAGGGAGACACCAATCTCATCTACTGAAGAGAAACAGTAAGTTAGTACAGAGCACACAGGAAACGCTGATGACGGGGTGGGCTGCATGGCGGGATTGGGTTAGAGTGCTCTATTAGTGTGTTGGGGTTTGACACTGTGAGTTTTGGTCTGCAGGGTAAAAGCAGACTGCCACCACTTTCTTAGTAGTGTTTTGTGAGGGAGGGAAGTGGGCAGCAATGTTATTAAACGTGTGTCATTAAACCCAGTGTCCAGTGTCACTTGAAGATCTGCATTAACGTAATGATATTTCAATGATTCCTGGTCTAATATTTAAGAGAAATATGACGTGACATTGGAAACTTCCTTGGATAAATTGTGCATAGCATACCAACATGTCAATCAACTCCAAACGAGAATGGAAATTAGATATCAGGGAAATATTACAAACAAATAAATTATATGGCTGAAGTTAATTGCAACTGACACACAGCCCAACAAAACACTGTGCTAGAACACTTTGCAATGCTAAACAATGACGTTTTGCTCTTAACTTTTGAAAGCCGACCCTACAGTGGGGAAAAAAAGTATTTAGTCAGCCACCAATTGTGCAAGTTCTCCCACTTAAAAAGATGAGAGAGGCCTGTAATTTTCATCATCGGTACACGTCAACTATGACAGACAAAATGAGACAAAAAAAATCCAGAAAATCACATTGTAGGATTTTTAATGAATTTATTTGCAAATTATGGTGGAAAATAAGTATTTGGTCAATAACAAAAGTTTTTCAATACTTTGTTATATACCCTTTGTTGGCAATGACACAGCCAAACGTTTTCTGTAAGTCTTCACAAGGTTTTCACACACTGTTGCTGGTATTTTGGCCCATTCCTCCATGCAGATCTCCTCTAGAGCAGTGATGTTTTGGGGCTGTCGCTGGGCAACACGGACTTTCAACTCCCTCCAAATATTTGTTATGGTGTTGAGATCTGGAGACTGGCTAGGCCACTCCAGGACCTTGAAATGCTTCTTACGAAGCCACTCCTTCGTTGCCCAGGCGGTGTGTTTGGGATCATTGTCATGCTGAAAGACCCAGCCACGTTTCATCTTCAATGCCCTTGCTGATGGAAGGAGGTTTTCACTCAAAATCTCACGATACATGGCCCCATTCATTCTTTCCTTTACACGGATCAGTCGTCCTGGTCCCTTTGCAGAAAAACAGCCCCAAAGCATGATGTTTCCACCCCCATGCTTCACAGTAGGTATGGTGTTCTTTGGATGCAACTCAGCATTCTTTGTCCTCCAAACACGACGAGTTTAGTTTTTACCAAAAAGTTATATTTTGGTTTCTTCTGACCATTTAACATTCTCCCAATCCTCTTCTGGATCATCCAAATGCACTCTAGCAAACTTCAGACGGGCCTGGACATGTACTGGCTTAAGCAGGGGGACATGTCTGGCACTGCAGGATTTGAGTCCCTGGCGGCGTAGTGTGTTACTGATGGTAGGCTTTGTTACTTTGGTCCCAGCTCTCTGCAGGTCATTCACTAGGTCCCCCTGTGTGGTTCTGGGATTTTTGCTCACCGTTCTTGTGATCATTTTGACCCCACAGGGTGAGATCTTGCGTGGAGCCCCAGATCGAGGGAGATTATCAGTGGTCTTGTATGTCTTCCATTTCCTAATAATTGCTCCCACAGTTGATTTCTTCAAACCAAGCTGCTTACCTATTGCAGATTCAGTCTTCCCAGCCTGGTGCAGGTCTACAATTTTCTTCTGGTGTCCTTTGACAGCTCTTTGGTCTTGGCCATAGTAGAGTTTGGAGTGTGACTGTTTGAGGTTGTGGACAGGTGTCTTTTATACTGATAACACGTTCAAACAGGTGCCATTAATACAGGTAACGAGTGGAGGACAGAGGAGCCTCTTAAAGAAGAAGTTACAGGTCTGTGAGAGACAGAAATCTTGCTTGTTTGTAGGTGACCAAATACTTATTTTCCACCATAATTTGCAAATAAATTCATTAAAAATCCTACAATGTGATTTTCTGGAGAAAAAAAATATCAATTGGCTGTCATAGTTGACGTGTACCTATGATGAAAATTACAGGCCTCTCTCATCTTTTTAAGTGGGAGAACTTGCACAATTGGTGGCTGACTAAATACTTTTTTCCCCCACTGTATATGGGGGCATTTCTCAAAGGACCTAATTCAAACAAGCCAACTCCTATTGCCTGCCTTAAAATAATGGAGTGGGTTATAAAAACTAATAGCAACTTTGACATCCCCCCAAAAAGCATTGGGAGAACACTTCTCCTGGGACCTATAAGAACCTAGATCCCTTCAACAGACGGAGGTATTTTAGCCCAAAGTCCCTTGTGAATGCATGCCGACATGACATTCTTCCCTCACTGACATTGGATAAGGGGAACTCCATGCTAGCCAGTCTCAGATTGTTTTAACATGGGGGTCAGTTAAGGCCAGGCACCACAGGCAAAAATGACATTTTTGCATCTACTTATCAATTTTGAGATTATTTTGTATTTTGGTCCATCTAAAAAGAAATGTACAAAAGTTGATGGAAATGTATCATCACACATAATATAAAAGCCCTTTTCATAGAGAATGTTACAAACCGGAATATGTGTAGTAGTGGGTATTGGGTCTAAATAGAAGAGATGGGTATCGGGTCTAAATAGGTGTTTGGCATTTGGTAGTCTAAATTCAGTGTACTTTAACTGCCATTTCCCAAAAGTCAGACTCTTCCTACACGCCAACACATTTTTCTCAGCCTCTCAGAAGCATCTGCATTCATCACAGTGTGTGTGGTTATCCTTAAACATATTATTCAGACTTATACATAGGTAATTGTTGATATGTTGTCACATTTTTATTCTAGATGACATTTTCTTCAAAAGTATTTACAGATAAGATGAAAAAAGTATTTATCCACAATCTGCTATGTACAAGTCCAGTCCTGGAGTGTCTTAACAAAATGAAATACAAAAATGTAGGCCGACTTCATCCAATGTCCAGAAAAATGTATTTGTGTGATATGCAAATACAGTATGTGCATATTTAATTAATTTATATATTTTTATTTGTAAAAATTACCCTATTAGGATGTGGTGCCACTCATTCCTATAATTTCCAGTGTTATATAACACTAATATGTGAGAACAATATTTTTGTGAACAAATGTTTCATGTTGTCCTTATAATAAGGTTGGTAGCAACATGTGAAAATCGTTGCGTAATCTGTTGCAGCTCAAGTCGACTACAAAGCCCACAATGCAATGCTCTCTCTATGGGCTGGCTGGACGTACTACAATAATACTAAAGTCAATATCAGCATGTGAAATAGCTATTTCGCTGTAAAATCGCCTAAACAAACTGCACTATCAATTTAGGAGTCTACAATCTCACCATATCGATGTGACATTCGCAACGGGCACCATGCAATGCACTAAAGAGGCAGACAAATAGGGGAAATGTGTTAGACCCTCTGTTAAAGTTCTCGAGGTAGGAATATCGCAAAAGTATGATCAATGGCTCATTCAAGAGAAGACAACCCCCCGCGTAATGACATCGGCCAGTATTGAAATCTAACGTGTATGATAGACGTTTTCGCGATCTAAAAGTCGTATTCCTATTAACTTCCAGTGTAGTGAGAGCGGCTTTATCGCAATGCTATGTCATACAGACCAAATTTATGTATGCTTGAACGGCAATTGCTCAGATAATGATGAAAACATGAAATGACCCAGGGAATCGGCAGAATATCGCTCAGAGATGCGCAAAAACAATATAGCATTCAAAATGGGTGAATCATTACTTTAAGTGACCCCATACTTATTTTGATTTCAAACGACAGCATTTCAAATAGATCCAAGGGGGATATGACCGACTGTATGCAATATTGCAAGGCACAAAGTGTACTACCAGTGTGTGAACCTTTTTTCGTTGTCTGTATGACTTTGAAGTAACTCGTTAGGATCTAACAAGATCGTTAACAAAGTGACACAGCTTAACAGAAAACGGGAAGTCTGATAGAGAAAGCTTACAAAACCAAAGTCTATTCAAACAAGTGCCTCCGACTGCTTTTTCCAATGTGTTTCGAAATGTGAATCACTTTCTCACCCAATCATGTTTTGGAAAAAAAGTTAATCTAATCTAAAAAAGGGAGGACGATTATCCTTGATTGGACCGCAAATGAAATCAGAGTTAATTCACACTGTATGTTTCAGTTAGATCAGATGCACTACAAGTACTGAAAAGACCATTGAGACCTTACCACCCAGATTCTTGTTCCGGGGGTTATAGATGTACATCTAAACCGAATGCTTATGACACTCATCACAACACAGAATTAGGATCTCTGTGCATCACAAGATCATCACAAAGAAACATAGGTCTAAGGGTAATCAGGCTGTAGTTTTGTAAGTAGAAGACAATTATGCACTGTATAATCTGCATAAGGATAAATTCTATATAAGAAATTAATTACATTTAAAATATATATAATAATAATCATGATACATTTCTGAATGGAATCAGTGAATTCATTCATTTGATGGAATTTATTAAATGGAATTCCTGACTTCTACTCCAACATCTTTCAGCGCACACACACACACCAGTTCTCCTTTAATTAGGTGACCTCTGTTAAATGTCATCATGTCAGTGCAACAGGAAACCTACAGCTGTGTTCCCCAAATATCTGCACTCCCTCTTCCATCACCCCGGGTGACTGGAACTGGGATCAGTGCATAATAATGGGGGAAGTTTTGGAAATAAACAGAGAACACAAAGACCTGTGTGTCCTCTCGACCCCAAATCTGCATATTGTGATTTGTAGTGAGAAAATGCACCTCTATCGCACAGTGATAAGAAAATAACCTTTCTCAAATTGTCCTATTTCATCATAATTCTAATTCAAAATATAAATCAATATATCTTTATAAATATTGAACATTATGGGAGATAAAAATCTTATCAGTCAAGGATAAAGAAGGAACCTCAAATGGAAAAACAAATGTTTTTTTTTCTTTTTCTACAAAGCCTCTACATATTTGTTTGATCATCTTTGGAGTATCAGCTGACATGTTTTTTTAAGCCT